TCATTCTTATTCTTTTTATTGTACGTGCTATTCCTTGGTGTGCGCCCACCGGTGAATCATGATACTCGTACAGTATCTGTCTCTTTTCCTCTTCGGTTAGCTCTTGCCTCTCGCACTTCTCTTCTTTTGTTTTCTCGCTCTCCTTCGCTTTGCACGGGCATGCCTCCGCGGGAGCTCTACTGAGCGCGTCCGCGTTGGTATTCGCCTTCCCTTTCTTATGCATGATCTCGTAGTCATATTCCTCTAATTTCAAACGCCATCGCACGAGCCGCGATCCTGGGTCCTTTACGTTAAAAAGCCACACCAGTGCCTTATGATCGGTGACATTATTGAACTTCGTTCCGTATAAATAAAGCCTGAAATGCTTTACTGCCCACACAATTGCGAGTAACTTCTTTTCTGTCGTGCTGTAGTTTCGCTCAGCTTTGTTCAGTACTCGGCTCGCGTATGCAACCGGCCGATCCTGACCTACCGCACCTTGCGATAGCACCGCGCCGACCGCGTAACCCGACGCGTCGGTTGTCACGATAAACTCCTTGTCGAAGTCCAAATATGCGAGCAACGGAGCGCTAATTAACTTTTCTTTCAAATTCTCGGACGCTTGCTGTTGCTCGTGCCCCCACTCGAACGCTACTTCTTTCTGCAACAGTCGTGTCAACGGCTTTGCTATCTTTGAGAACTGGTCGATAAATTTTCTGTAGTATCCTGCCAGACCAATGAGCGCCTGTATATCCTTCGCTTTTTTTGAAACTGGAAATCCCTTGACCGCCTCCATTTTCGACGGATCCGGCGATATACCCTTCTCGGTGATCACGTGCCCTAAATACGTGACCTCTTTGCGAAAAATTCGCACTTATCCGGCTGCAACTTTAAATTATACTTCCGCAACCTGTCAAAAACCTCTCGTAGCCGCTTGCTGTGCTCTTGCAAGCTCGCACCGTGTATCACGATGTCGTCGAGATACACAAAACACTTTATACCCCGTAGTCCCATCAGGACCGAATTCATCAACCTTTGAAACGTCGCCGGCGCATTTTTCAATCCAACAGGCATTCTGTTATATTCGTAGTGACCATGCGGCGTTGAAAACGCTGTCTTTCCTCTGTCTTCTTCGTCCATTGGTATCTGATGATACCCGGACGCCAAATCTAACGTTGAGAAATACTTCACATTCCCAAGTTGGTCCAATATTTCTGCAATATTTGGCAGTGGAAAAGAAGCGACTACTGTTGCCTCATTTAGTCGACGAAAATCTACGACTATTCTCAACTTTCTCACGCCGGACGCGTCCATCTTTTTCGGAACCACTAGTAAAGGTGCATTCCACTGACTTTCACTATCGCGTATTATTCCGCTTTCTAACATTTCTCCGATTTGTTTTTCTACCTCTTGCTTATGCTTCTGCGGCAACCTATATGGCTTAACGCTTATAAGAGTGGTGTCAACTTTCACAGGTATTTTATGCTTCACCGTGCTTGTTTTAGATAGCGGCTCCCCTGCAAGATGGAATATATCTTGATACTCCTCGCATATCTCGTGCAATGTTTCTTTCTCTTCTTTATTTAAATGCTTCACTCGCAGTGTCTCTTTTACTCTTTCGCGGCGTGTTGACCCCTCCGTTTTTATGCTTACGTTTGCTATTTCGCTACTTGTCTCACTCTCTTCTTCTAGCGCTTCTAATTTAACACGCGGAGTGCCTATTGTTACCGCTTTTTCCGTAGTATTTATTATACTCACGGGGCAAAAATTTCCTTTCGGTTTTACCAAACAGCTTCCTATGAAAACTCCTGGCTGCGTTTCTTCCCCTTGTACTATTCCGATCTGATTATTATCAGTTACAGCTTGCACGATTGTTTCGCTACGAGATTGTAATTTTACATTTTTATATGGGCGCAATCGCAATGTATTTTTTCCCAGCAAGAGTTTTCCCGCTTTGTAATCCGGCTTGGCATTGTGCTTTTTCATAAAGTCATTTCTTAAAATGCCCTGATAGCTAAGCAGGAAATCGTCTCTCACAACGTAAATCGGATGCTTAATATTTTGTCTTTTAGCCGTATGGTTGCTGTGATTTTCCCAATGACGCTTGCTTGATGCCCTGTAACGCCTATCAGTTTCATGCTCGTCTTCTCGGCTGGCGGTTTCTCTTTTAAATATTTCTTCTTAATCAATGACACTGTAGCTCCAGTGTCATACAGCAATTCCACTTCGCCTTTCTTTGCTTCTCTCGGTACAGTGACTAAGTCCAAAACCGCTTGCGCAGCATTTAGCTCGGCTATCTGTAGCTCTGCTACTGACACGGATTTTTTCTTTTCTTTTTCGTTGTCCTCTTTGTCACTCGGTGACTCGCTATTATCACTTCGGCTTTTTTTTCTTGTCTTTTGCCGCACATATGGCTTTTACAGCTCCTTTTTTATTTTGACTGCCTTTCAGCGACCAGCAATTTTCCTTGATATGCCCTGCTTTTTTGCAATAACTGCACGTTTTATCCACAGCATTTACTTTGCCACTGTTCGGTTTAGGCAATGCCACTCTGTTTGATCGGCACTCTCTTCCGTAATGTCCGATCTTTCCGCATTTGTAGCACGCGTTTTTTTCATAGTTTTTTCCCATTGTTTGCTTTACTGCAAAATTTCCACCGTGGCTGCTTTGTGGCACCGCCACCTTCTCCTCAGAGCTTGCTGCGTTTATAGCCTCTTGCAACGTTCCATAGTTGCGTGACCTTATTAGTAACCTGACGTCACTCCTTAAACCTATTTGGAACTGTTGCAGCGCTTGCCCTTTAATAGTATTCATAATAGTACGTTTCTCTTCCATGGTGTGCCCTTTGCTCTCCACCATAGATTCGTACAACTCCATGGCCGTTTGATTTACTCTTTGACCGTAAACCTGTGCGCTTTCATTTTTCTTTTGTCGCAATGTGTTAAAGTCTATTTGTAATTGTATAGTGCTTTGCTTTGCAGAATACGTAGCTTCTATTTCTGCCTTTAACTGTCCAAAATCGCGAATGTCCTTCGTTTTAAAATCAATCAACGCCTGCCCTCTCAGCTTGGTTTGCAATACTGCTTGCAAGAGAGCGGGTTCCTCCGCAGGGTTGACCATTCCCTCTGCGTACTCGCATGCATTTAAAAATTCTCGAACTTGCTCGGGTGATTTCCCAGTAAACGTCGGTATCATTCCGACCACGTCTTTTAATTTTAGACTACCATTATACAACACGGCGCGATTTCTTACGTCGTCAGCTGTTTTTCCGTACGTTACGTCTAGCTGTTCTCTCGGACGTTTGTACACGTGTCGCGTCATCGACACACCTGTCCCGCGCCCGTGTGTCTCGCGGAGTTCCGTCACCCGTCGGTCCACCGCGTCTATTCGCGAACTTATCATTTCTAATGACCGCACTACCTGCTGTAGCATTGCGTCAGCGGGGTTGTAACCTTGCCCACTTGTTCCTGCGGCCCCGCGCCCCGCGGTGCCGCCCGCAGTCAACTCGTTTCGCATTCGGGAAATTTCGCGTTCCACTTCTTTGCGAGCCCGGTTTATATTTTGTTCGTCAAATTCTTGTTAAACACTTTCGTTATTCATTTCGGCCCGCTGTCTTGTGTAAAACAACTCGCTCTCGTATGAAATTAAAGAAGACCTCTGAGTACCACTGCTCGGGGTTCCACTGTTCTCAACTTTACCGCGATTTATTACATTTTGTAAATGACCGGCTATACTACCGTCTAAATCGAACGGATTCTCTTTCTACAATCACATTCGGATTCAAATT